AACCCTAACCCTAAATTTTATTAAAAGAAATTATACATAGGTGCTAAAACACCATAGATGCGTTTTATAATAATTGTTTTTCAAAACTAATAGCTTAATTTAAATTAGTTTAAAAAAAAAACTTTAATAATATACTGTACATCTATAATATTTTATATCTATACTATATTTATTTAATATTAACAAAAAATTTTATTAATAATAATTAAATAGTTAGATAAATAATGCCTTTATAGCATTTTATAAAAAAAACATGGGTTTTTAAAAAAAATAAATTAAATAAATATTTGCTAAAGAAAAAAACTAATTTAACACCTAGTGTTTGAAATACTAATATTGTACAGTATAACATGTAAATTAAATAATTTTTATAAAATAACTGATAAACAAAAATAATTTTAATTAATATTAGAGTTTAAAATAAAATAAATCCAAAATTTTGCAAGGAATTTTTTTTTAAAGCTTGAAAGATAGTTTCATAACCAAAATTTTAAGATATATTATTTATTTTTAGTTTTTTTTTTTTATTATATTTAATTTGATATTTTGATTGGTTTTTCTAATTATTTTATATAACCAAGTGTTAATACACCTAGTGTCTAAATAGAAATTGCCTTTGCTAAATAACTAAAAAATAGTCTTTTAAATTTTTGTAAAACTTGTAAATAAAAAAATTTTCGCAAAAACTATATTTAAGCTATCTTAGTAAATATTTAAAATAACTTGTTAAACAACTTTTTTGGTATAATAATATAAAATTTATTAATAAAATTTTAAGATTAAACAGCTTTTTAAATTTTTTTGCAATTTGTAAATTAAATACAAAGTTTTATAAATTTGCATTGTAAAAAATTTATTAATAAAATAAATTTTTTTTTTAAATAACAATTTTTAAACTCTTAATTAAAATATCTTAACATCCATCAAATTAAATTTTATAAAATTTTTTTGTTTTTTGTTTTAACTCTATAATTATAAAATCAAATCAAAAAATTTTTATTACATTCAGTTATATTTAATTTAAATTTTTAAAAAATTTATTAAAAATGATTCTCTACTAGCTCACCCTCATATATTTAAAATACATTATAAATAATGAACACCATAGTTGCTATATTCCCAAAAACTGATTAAAATCGGTATTGTGTTTTATATTCTAAATAAAATGCTCGACGCCAAAACCTTAATCCTATTACACATACATATATAAATTGGATAAATCCAGATTTTACGTAGAACAATATACGTTTCAAAATGCCAATACTAAAATAAATGCAAATATATATACTGTAAATATATGTGCATATTTTTTTAAAATAGGCAACAAAAAAACACGCCCAGGGCGTTCTCTTCAAGAAGGTTTTTTTTTTTTTAAAAAAAAAAGGCGACAATGCAATATAGCAACATTTCAACTGGCTTTAACACCATTTGTCAATCGCCAAATGGCTACATGTACGTACGTACATACATATTGTTTTACTAGCATAATTTAAAGTTAAGGTTAGAAAAACATAGAATCTTTTAGTTAGATCGCCAAATATTGATTACTTGGCCAGTTTTGAGACCACAAAAACTTAGCGTATTACATAAGATTTGTTTGGGCTAGGTGCTATCAAAGGAACAAGATTAAAAAAAAAAAAAAAACATTTTGCGAAAAATTGAAAAGCTATTATTAATATAAAAGATTGGCTCTTTAGGAAAATACTACGTATGCAAGTTGTTTTAAAATACTTATTTATTAATCGGTCTATTTCTTAGCATATAGCCCATTCAAAAAATCACTACAACTCTAAGCATAACTAGCTTTTTAATTTGAAATTAGTAAAGTGTCATTAGAAAAAAAAAATTAACAATTAGAGATTATATAGCATATAGTTAGCAATTATAGAAAGATATTTACTGAGACAGTAAATTCGAAAACATACTGTATATACAGCATATATCAATAAAGTTTAGTGTCAACAGTTCAAAAAGAGTCTCACGCATTTTTATTTACGCGTATTAGTAAGCTTAGTGAAGAGTATATTCGAAATTTTATCTCCTCAAAATAAGTTTTCATTAAAACACAATGAATAGAAAACGAAATTACTTGGTAACCAACAAGAAATATATATATATATATATTTATTCATAATTTCTCAAAACTCATTCTTCGTGATCTTTTTCTATATTTTTATCAACATTAAATCTTCTAAACGTTCTTTTCTCTTTCTTTCTAAATTCACCTTCTCCGACTCTTTTCAAAATTGCAAAATACAAAGGACCCCACCCATCGCATTTATCCGGTAAAATAATCCAACCTTTCTCACATGGTTCTCCGATCATCCACACTCTCTTAACTTCTTCTAAAGGCACCCAACTATTTTTAAGTATTTTCTTTACAACTTCTTCATTTTCATACTTATTTATCGAACAAGTAACATAAACCAATAATCCACCAACGTGTATACCTTTAACTGCATCCAATAGCATTTTGTATTGTTTTTGAGCCATAATTTTAGATCTGGACGGTTTCCATTTAGAAAATTCACTAGAATTTAATAAATGGCGTTCAGCAGAACATGGGGCATCAACTAAAATTTTATCATAAGTAGGTAATGAGAGAGTTAAATCTAAAGATAAAATTTTTATATGATGTTGTAATGAAAGTGGAATGTAATCAGTTATAACTTGTTTTAGACGCCTGCATCTACTAGGAGATGGATCATTTGCTGTTAAAAATCCACCATAATCCATATTGAAATTATTATTGTTGTGAATAATGGAAGATAACAAATATTGGAGGATGACGAGACTTTTTCCACCAGGAGCAGCACATAAATCTAGTATAACATCATTAACATTCAAGTCAAACGCTTTTACTACCATAATACTTGCAGCATCTAACAAATAATAGTTTAGTATCCCATTTTCATCCTTTTCAGGTTGTTTAAACCTTTCGGAAGAAACGTAGCAAGGCAAATCAAGAAATGAAACTTGTTCAAGGTTAGGAGTGGTTGATAAAAATGATTGAATTTGCCTAGGAGAGGTGAATTTGTTGACAAGTGCGCAATATCTTGTAGGATTTTGTAAAGATTGAAAAAGATTTTGCCAACGATCTTGACCATATTGTGATGAATAGAAAGAAGAAAATTGAGAAAGAGTTATTGAATGATGTAAAGAATTTTTTAAGACAAGTTTTTTTTTATTTTTTGAAAGCGAATTAAATTTTTCTGAATCGATCGGTTGAGGTTGTGTAGAATAGTTTGGTGTCTTTACGGAACAAAAACTTTTAATTAGCTTCGATCCTAATATAGGTTAAAAATATTTTTGCTATTAAATGTCCACGCTTTAAAAAATAACATAAAATAAAAATAATCGTTATTACTCACTCACCCCAAAACCGTCTGAAACTCATAATTGGAAATTTTATTCGAAATATGATAAAATCCATAAAAAGAATTTTTATAGAATCAATCAAAACTAAAAAAATATGAATGCATATTTTATTAAGTAAATCTGATTGGCTCCAATACTGTTATATACATAACTAAAAAAAGATCTGTCAATAGAAACTTTTTTATTTTTTATTTTTTTCAATTTTCCTTTTTTTTTTGATTTTATAAAAATATTATAATTACGCTAAAAATGTCTGGTAAATATAACAGACAAATTTTCGTGAAAAAAGCGCTTAAAAAAAAAGAAATATATCGAAATCGCAAATGCATTAGTCGTGTCGAATGTTCACAGAAATGTCAAGTTATAGCTATAAATGTGTTAATATTTTTAAAACGCAACGATAGATGTAAAAAAAAAAACGGATGAATGAAGAAAAACGATTGAGTGAAGAAAAAACGATTAATTGAATTAAATGTAAAAACGAAGAGGCTGACATTTTTATACTAATGACTAAAGCAGTTAAAAAACGAAGCAAGATTTAGGTGTCATCCGCCAAAAAAGGTATCGAACCGGTTAGACCAAGAAAATAATATTTATGTACTATATAATCATGAGGAATTAAGAGATCCATCTGAATTTGGTCTGTGCTAAGAAATGCTTTATCTTCTTGGTTTAGGTCTTCGAACTCTTTCAACGCTTAGCGCGATGCCAGTACAACTGTTAATAAAAATAAAGAATTAATGATATTTTTCATGTTAAAAAATCAATGATAATAAAAGGAGCTTAGTGTTTCGGTCGAATCTGAAATATTTCGCCCGGAAGAAATTGGCGAAAAATATTTATACTTTAAAAAGTGCAAAATTACTATATGTTTGAGGGTTGAACTGAAATTATCTTCGTTCCGGAAAAATTATTTCTTCTTGGCGAAATATTTCAGATTTTTGAAAATACTTTAGTCCGAAACTATAGAATATAACTTACCAGACAGCACCCTCACTTACCGCAGCATGATACGCGGTTTGTGTGGCGAAATCGGCAAATGCGCACGCCTGATTGAAATAATTTAAAGTGTTAATTTTATTTTTCCAAATAAATATTTATGAAATTCAAGTAATATTCACTTTAGAAGGTATCATATCGATATTTTCGACGGCACCAAAGGCATCTTCGAGGCATTTCTTTAATGTTTCTTTGTCAATCCCATCCGTAATAGATCCGATAAAAGCTCGACAACTTTTGGAAACTAAATTACATTAAATCGTGATCAAAGGGTCCCGCAGTAATATATATTTTTAATTTGTTATACATGAAAAAAAAAAAAACAAAGAACCTTGATCAAATAGTGATATAAACCTTGTTTTCCACGGGTTTTAGGCGCTGTAACCTTATTATTTAAGTCAAAAGGCGAAGATGTTCCTAAGTGGCCAAAATTTTCGCTTTGTTTACGTGACGATCCTGATGTAAATGGACTTTTCTGTGTTAAATCCTGAAGAAGTTCGTTTTGCGACTGAACAATTTTTTGATATTTGTCTACGATAGCTTCTTTTTGTTCAAGTTGCGCTCTAAGCGCTTCGCAGTTTCGACAGGGCTTTTCATTCGAACCCATATTTTAAATTTGTATCGTATCGTTGCGACGGAAATTTTTTTTTAGGAAAAAATCGAGGAGACCAACTGAAAGAGTTGAATAGAGGCTTGCAGATTTTTGGTGCTATTTAATGAAGCTTATATAAGTGCATGAGTAAGGTCAGGTGACATAAATTTGGTGACTTCAATGAATAACGTGAATAGTTGATTCGTTTGTAATATGCACGTCAATATCAGTAATGCAATCAACGATCGGGAAAATGGTCTGTGATTGTTTATGATCCGGCAATTTGCACAAGGACGCCACGGAATTTCATTACAAACCCCGAATCATTTTGAAAAATAGTACAAATAAAGACGTGAACGTCATATACAGAATCTAAAGATGTCAATGCAACCGATCAACACTTAAGATCGATTGGCCCTTTATAGAATCATTGAAAGATATATGTGGTCGAAAAACCAATTATACTGCGGAGTTCAGGGTTACTATCGTTCTGATCGGTACGGTAGGAATGGTGGTGATAGTGACTGTATCACATAATGACTCTAATTAGTTAGTGTCAGGGTTAACCCTCACGCGAGTCTGAAATTAGTATAATATCTCAACGTGAATCTGGATTTGCCTTTTACGTATTATTATTATTTTCAAATATTTTTTTTTGTGACACCACAGTAACAAGAAATGTATATATTCTCCTTATTCCCATAATTACATAATATTGTGTCCTAAATTTTAGCAATAATTTTTTTAAGAGTTAACGTAATCATTCATTTAAGATTGTTTTTTATTTTTTTTTTTTGATAAGCTTTTCGTGAATTTTTTTTTTATTTGAATTTTTAATTTTTAAAACAAACGAACATATGAACTCCAACTTCGTGTTAAAAGAACCAGTTTAATTGGCTTATTTACGAAGCTTCTAGTTGCACAACTGTCACATTATGGTTCCACTAAAGAAGCATATCGATCGAATTTGAATTTCTTTGCTTATTATGGTAACTGCCGGTATCAATATCACAATCCGTTTTTATACTTGAACGAAAGTTGAAGTTGATTGATATAAAGCATTAAATAGAGTTAAAAGAAGCTCTAAAAGGTTCTTGGTTTTCTCCACTCCCTTTGACTTCTTAAAAAAAATGCAACGATCTTTGCTTCCATTCATATTAGTTCCTTTGACTTTATTATGCTGGCTAAGAGCTTATATTCTTTATCACGAGGCAGTTGCTAGTCTTTATGGTGTCCAAAGAACGATCCCTTCAAAGAATGTGTCGGTTGATTTACCAAAGTATGATAATCTTACCATTGGTGACCGACGAGAAAATATCTTCTATTTTATGCAGGTGCTTATTGTTGTTCTATGATTTAATATTTTCGCTTTCTTTCACTAAAATTATTTTGATTTAGGTATCCGATTTACACATATCCAAATATTATAAACCTGGTGGTGCTTCTCACTTTTTATACTTTCTTTCCACCGCCCTTCCTGTTGTTTCGCCTTCTTTTGTGCTTGTAACTGGAGATTTAACTGATGGGAAAGAACAATACTATGGTAGATCGGGTCAGAACGTTGATGAATGGGCAACCTATCAAACTGCATTACAAGTATGGTTTTTATATCAATTATCACATATCTTTATATTATCTTTAGATCTCTTTTTTAATCTTTAATTTATAGGAATCTGGAATTCTCGATCGCCCGGACTTTTGGTACGATCTGCGTGGAAATCATGACTGTTTTAACGTGCGTTCTTGGGATAGTGAGCAAAACTTGTACAAACTATATAGCGTGGTAAAAAAAAGAGGATTTGATTTTACGGTAGAAAAGACTTTTGGTCGATATAGATTCATTGGAATTGATGCATGGTGAGTAATTTTTCCATTTTATGATATATATGCAATATATGATATATTTAATTCTAAAAAATATTTTATATCTTATCAATTTCTCTAGTCCAAAATCTGGACCTTCAAGACCTTATAATTTCTTTGGTTATTATGAGATCAGTGATATGGATCGATTATCTGAAAAATTATTAGATAAGTCGATGGCATCCAATCACACCTTTTTGGTAAATATTCTTTTATTTAAGCTTACCAAATTTATATATATTGTTGAATTCTTAATTTAAATATTTTATATTTTATATTAGCTTGCTCATTATCCTAAGGCTACATTATCATATGGAAAAACTTCTAAAGGCGAATCTTTCGAGGATTTATCAGAGCATATCAGCGTTTACATGTGTGGTCATTTACATAAACTTGCTTTGGGTAATCTCTTTAATTTTCAATATTCTGTTATCTGAAGTTGCAATATGTGATACCTCTATAATTAATTACCTTAATGTCATTCCTTATAGGTCTTGGTGATCATTTACAGATATACCGATCCACTAATTATTTAGAATTAGAACTAGGAGATATGAAAGTTAATGCTGTGTATCGTATAATAGCTATCGACCATGATTTAGTCAGCTATACTGATGTTCAACTACCTCTACCCGAAATTCCTCTAAAAACTCCTCCTTCACCCGCGGAAGGTTTCTCAGTTTTACCTGAAAAATTACCCTATCCACCGGTCATCTTGATTACCAATCCTAAAGGTTCCGCATACACTATGAAATATCACGAGCCTGTGCACAGAATAAAAGATAGCACACATATAAGATTGTTGATATTTTCAGATCATGCTATAGATACTGTTTCCATCTTTTTAGATGGAAAGTTACATGATCAAGATGTACATTATAAAGGAAATTCTAAGAATGATAAAGAATATATTCCGCTTTGGACTTCTCAATGGAATCCTTCAAATTTTGATGATGGTAAAAATCACGTAATTGTTGTCAAAGCTCATGATACTTCGGGTCAAGTGGGTGAAAGTAAGTTAATATTTCGCGTAGATGGTGTAAGAAGTAATATGGATGGTGGCATTAGTGAATTTTTAATGTTTCTAGATTGGGCTGTGGTGGTAAGTTTTAATTATTCTAGGGTTGATAGTAGTTATGAATTGATATATACCTATATTAACTGTTCTTTATTGTAATAGGCTCGATCTTCGTTTTTTATTGGTCATGTATCACTCACAATTTATCTGCTTGCTTCGAAATTATATGTTGCTTATAATCCAAATCATCATTTGATTACTTCATTTCATACTTCCAAAAAAACAATTCCTGAATCCTTCTTCCGTAAAACTTTCTTATTGGTCTCTCAACCAATCTTCTTTTATACTCTCTATTTTTATCTTCTTGCAATTATAACGATGCCGTTATTTATAGGTAACATGATTACTTCATCACCGCAAAGTGGTTATGGCTTATTCTGGTTATACGGCATCCAAAATTTCCATAATTTAAGATGGCTACCATCAGCAGATACATGGATGCATGGTTCATTAGATCTCCTCTTTTCAGTCATTATTGTTGTAATATGGTTTGTGATTATTACAGGTGATAGGAGATGGAGAACCAAATGGTTATTGTGGGGAATTATACTTTGGTTATGGAGAGGATCAGAATTATACAAATTGTCACAGATCTATGGACATTTTGTCTTTTGGGCAAATATACAAACATTTTGGTGGCTCTTTTGGGGATGGTACGGAATTTCAAAAGGAATAGTAAGCTAATTTCAAATGTATTATAAAATTTTCTTTAAGTTATTTTCTGTGACATCACCTATACCTACTGTAATTTGTTTAAATAGAGCTTATAATATGTATGATTATAAAGAGCTTATCCAATAATTCTAGGAATATTAGTAAATATTATTGATAATACCTTTTTTTGGGGTTTGATGACATGTATATATTTATGGTATTTTATTGGAGAATAATAAAATTTATACATTTTCTAAGAATAAAACCTTGCACTCAGAGAGAAGTTGTATTTAGAGTGTGTAAAATCTATATTGTTTCATATTTTTATATACAGTCTAACCTCCCTATAATCACACCCCTCGGGATAAAGATTTGTGTGATTGTAAAAAGAATTTTACTAAGATGTGCTTATAAAGAAGTTTTTTTTCTATATGTTTATAATAGTTAGTTTTAAAATAAATATGCTTATAAAGAAAATTTTTTATATAATGTACTTATATATAGGGTAACTATAGGAAGGTTTGACTATAATATAAAATAAATGATAATTTAATAAAAAATAAAATACTGTAATACATAATAAAAAAAGAAATGTAATTTAATAAAAAAATAAGTGATTTTAATATATAAAAAAAAAGAAATAATAGTTTAATTCGGAACTCTTCTCAATGATCATTTGGACCAAAATTTCTCACTAAAAGAAAACAAACTTTTGTTGGAGAGTCATCATAGTCTAACGTAACGGTTTGCCTAGAGGTCAACAGTTTCTTTGTTCCGGGACTCCTCTATAAGTTGTGCATTCGACATGCAAGCCAAGAGCATTGGTAGACAAGATAACTGGCAGGAGGTGTGCGCTCTTGGATACAAAATCTTGGTAAAGGAACTAGTGTCTTCTTCATTGACAAAGTTATCTAGGCTGTTTATTCCTAAAGGAGAACACAGGGGAAACAACAAAAGTAGATTTTTTAAGCCACACTCTTTTACTTGGCCAAGTGGTTCCTTCTTTACTCCTACCTATCTTCCTTTCGGTCTTCCAAAATTTTTTCGAAAAAAGTGGTGATTTGGCTTACCCTGTCAAAAGATCGACATTGTTTACCTCCAAATACGAATAGACTAATAGATGGCAACACATGTCCAAAAATGGATATAACATTCAAGTGCTAGAACGAGTCCTAGTCAAAAAAGAAATCCCTAATTGTGGCAGCAAGTAGCTTGAGATACGGGTCTACGGATAGCAGCAGCATCTGCTTGAGATACGAATTAGGTTTACAGAAAAATCCTGAGTTGGGTCAGAAAGAAAATAATGATAAGGCATAGTCTTACAGTAGATGTTGCTCTTGTATATAATTTTTATCAACCTGGCATGGATTATAATAGTGCACCTTTGTTTCTTATATGTGTCAGGTTCGCCTGTCTTTTTTTTGCTTTTTTCATCTTTGTCCCTTTATATATAGATAGAGTTTAGGGTGTTTGTTCAATTTTTGTTTGTATATGCTTTAAATTTCCAGTCTTTCGTAAATTTTGGCATTATTTTCTTTTTTTATACAAACATAAGAGATTTAATTATTCTGCCAGGATCTAGATGGAAAAAGTTTTAAAGGAAGATAGGTGATCTTGACAAGGTATACAACAACCTATCTGTGATCAAGAGGGGTACTCTTGTCAGTATGAAATTCGATACAAGTGTTGAATCTTGAGTGAAACTAATAGTTGTTATAGCAGGTCGCATTGGGCATTTTGCTTGGTGAGTTTTTATTAGATTAGAACATTATGCTTTAAAAATGCAAGTGCTTTGTACTTTCATTATTGAGCAGTTTCGATGAATAAAGACAAGATTGTTTAAAAAAATAAAAAATAAAAATAATAGTTTAATTTAAAAAAAAAAAGAAATAATAATTTAATAAAAAAAAAGCAATAATCTAATATAAATAATAATAATAATAATAATTTAATAAAAAAATATAATAATAAATAAAAAAGAAATGTAAATTAATAAAAAAAAATAATAAGTGATAATTTTATATATATATATACTGTATAAAGAACTAATAATTTAATTTTTTTAAAAAAAATAATAAATAATTTTAGAAGTCAAAAAATGTTTGTGTTTTAAATCTTTAATATAAAAAGTTTTTAAAAAAATTATAACTTGGTTCAAAAGCTAATTTAAAACTAAAAATTAGAAAAAATTAGAAGCTAGAACCCGAGCAATGCTGGGTCCTACAAGCTAGTTATTGATCATATTAATTAAGAAGATTAGATAAAAGAAGTTGTAATTTTAGAAAAAGTAATAAAAATGATAATGCAAAGAATCAAAAAATTTGTAAAAGAATAATACAGGAGTTAATAGTATTAGTTTAACAACAAATAAATCAAAATATAGAATATATTATTAGAAAAATAATAAAAATTATAACAAATGGATTCAATATAAAAAACATAGACAACTAAAAAAAAGTATTTATTAAAGCAGTTAATTTTAATATAAATTTAGATAAACAATTAAATATTATTAGCAGGTATTTTAAATTTCAATCTTGATTTTATTTAAATTAATAATAAGTTATTAAAATGTAGCGGCTTAGTGAAGTGGTCTAGTCATCACCCACCAAGTGGCAGGTTTAGTGTTCAAATCTTATAAACAATGATTTTTAAATACTGGGCTGTATAAGATTAACAACTATCTTAAAAATAGCTTGGATCTTTGATTTGTAATTTTAGATAACACTATTCTCAAATGAGAAGTAAGCTATTGCAAAGTGGTAGAGTATAAACCCTGCATCTGTATACAGATTACACAGAGGAATGCATTTTGGTAATTATTAGGTACAAACTCTATAATAAGTCAATGCTATGTAAATTCTAGAAAGCCGAGATAACTAAAACCCATTTGGAAGAACTCGAGTAGAGATGTAACAAAAGCTTTCAATAATGCTATAGAATGGAACTTGGACGGTACTAGTCCTGGGTATTGTTTAGACTAGACCTCTTGAAAGTAAGAGATCGACCAGGATAGCTACTGGAATTACATCAGAGAAAAATAATATATGTTATGAAATTATATACTAGGAGTTTGGAGTTCAAGAATATATAAATCCGGGATAAACTGATCTTGTTCTAGGCTAACTAACTGGAATCAAATGTTAAGCTGGGAAGAAGAACCTAAAAGAGAAGTGAAGTGGGCATTAGAGTAGATATAAACTTTATAAAAGCAAGAGATATGTAGAGATAATACCTAAATACTAACTTAGGTTTAAAGACGTAATATCTTTAATACCTAATCTGAAGTGTGTAGAATACAGAAAGATTGGAGTGGTATATGCAGTTTACATCTATCTTAGGTAAAATAGAAAGTTTGGGCTAAAAGCTTACCAATAATAAATAAAATAGATAGTAGTGCTAGATATAAAGGTACTAAGATTATATAATATGTTAGATATAAACTAGTTAGATTAAATTTGTTACTGTAAATATAATTTGAATTAGATTAATTGATCTGAACATCTAAAACATTAATAAACTCTAGTTTCCAGACAGTTAACAAAAAAAAATAATAATAAGTTATTTTTATTTTTTTTAAATTTGTAATATAAAAAAATTTTTGATATATTTAATAAATTAAAATTATTATTTATATTTGATAATATTAATAAAATATAAGTTTAATATGCTCTGCACCCCTGTATTAAGGTTATATATTACACCTTAATGTGATTGGCTAATTTTGCAGATCATTATTTATAAAAAAATAAACAAATTTTATTAATTTTCTTTAGATTAAAACTAACTTATAAAAATTAAAAAAACAGTTAAAATTTTTTTGCAAAATTTAATGCTAAACAAGTTTAATTAAAAACAAAAAACATTGATATAATAAAATCTAGAGAAAATATTGTAATAAAAATTATAGTATCATAGTATTATAGTAGTTAGTTTATAGCATATGACTATTTTTCTGGCATATGACAATTCCCTTTTATTTGTATATTACAATTAGTTAACTTACCCCATATAGAAGTATCATAGCCTATATATAGTCTATGATTCATGCATATGTATTTTACAAGACTTATGTATCCTATATAACCCACACACCCTTGTAAGATTTATACAACTTATACAACCTAAACAACCCACTTATTTTTAGAAAACCTATTTATACTTGTTGCCCAAATTAGTGGCCCAGGATAAAATCCCAAATTCCAAATAGTTAAAACCTATTTGAGATTTTAATATTAAAAGTGCCAAATGCCCAAATAGTATTTATCTTTTATATATATCCCAAATCCCAAAATTATTCCAAATCTCAAAGTTATTCCAAATTCTAAAATTATTATGTGTATCTTATAGTATTTATTATAAACAGGTTTATAATTTTTAGAGTTATTTGTAGTTTATTTAATATTTTGTATAATCTATTTTATATATTAATATTAATTTATACTTAATACAGTAATTTTTAGAATAACTAAATTACATAGGTATTTATTTTTAATTTGTAATATATTTAAAAGTTTACTAAATTTCTTAATAGTAAATTATATTATTAAATCAAAACATATTAAGCTTGCAAAATTTGAAATATTAACAATTAAATTTGCTAGTATATTTTGCATTACTGTTTTATAATTATTTGGATAAATTGTATAAGAAGAAAATTTTTTAATTAAGTTTGTAGCAAAACAAACTTATCTATAATAAACTTCTTAATTAATTTTTTTTAAAGCCTAATCAAAATTGAATAATATTCTTTCAAAAACTATAAATATATAAAAAAATTACTCAAATACAATTAGTATTACAAATAAATTAATATAAATATAAAGATAAAATTGTCTTGCAGAAGTAGCTATCTTTTCAATAATTATTTTTGCAATAATTAATACAATAAAAATAAATATAAAAATAAAATTGCTGTTTGCAATAATATATATTTAGATATAAAATTTATTGTATTTATAAAATTTAAATTTATTAACAATCAAAAATTATTATTATTAGTTATTATTTTAAATTTATTTTTAATTAAAAATTAGTATTATTTGAATTTATATTTAAATTTGTATCTAATTTAGAATTTGTATATATCTAATTTGGGATTTGTATCTAATTTGGGATTTGTATCTAATTTGAGATTTGTACCTAATTTGGGATTTGTACCTAATTTGGGATTTGTATCTAATTTGGGATTTATATCTAATTTGACTTTAGGATTTTGATAGTGGGATTTGGGATTTGGAATTGGGATTTATAAATTTGAATTTGGGCAGCAAGTATAAACCTATTAGATTTCCTTTACTTTTTCTTTAAAATATGTATTTAAAGGCATTATTTTCGCCTCTTTGTAATAACAAGTTCTTAAGTTTGATATAAAATCTCCAAGTTCTTTATTAAATAAGAAATATGTTAGCTTTAGCAGGTTGTAATATCACAGTTGCGATATCGCAGTGTAATATAGATCAGAAATTTAATATATACAATTATTTGTAATATGTATAAAGCAGGGTAAGTAAACAATTATGTCATCCCAGTTTTTAGTTAAATATATAGTTAGAGATTTTTTTTTCTTTTTTTCAATAAAATCGGTTATATACAGTATCTCTTTCAATTTTCCAAAACGTACAACTTTTTGAGTTGTTAAATAAGCTATTTCCGAATCATCACAGTTATTGTGAATCATATTGTTTTAAAGTCACAATTAAATTATAACCCTATAACTCGTTGCAAATTTTAATTCTGTGGTTATGTCAGATAACATCTTCGGGTTTTCATTTTCTGATTCATACTTTTATAACTCTAATAAAAAGTGGGACAGTAATTATATATAAAGAAAAAAAAAAAAAAAAAAAGAGCCAGTTAGAATAATAGTTATTAGAATGATAGTTAATATTAGCCATACTATACTGTAATGAAATGCTAAAGTCGTGATTTGTGATTAATTCATAATATTAAATTCAACTGATCTAATTATCAACATTTTCAGTATTTTTAATACCACTTGATTTCTCATTTTCAACAAGTCAATATTCTTACATTGGACATCCAACTAAAGAACTCACATAATTGTTTTAAGAGCAACGGCACAAGGACCAAGGATTCATACAATTATCTCATGAGCAACAAAGCCAACTCGTACAATTGATTTAAGAGCAACAACTTGAAGACCAAGAATTCATACAATTACAATATGAACAACAAAATGATAAAAAATCTGATTGCATTAATGAAGATAATGAATATAAAATTAAAGATAGTGCTAAATTTCCTAATTGGGATACTTTTGAAAGAATGTTGAAAAAGCATAAGCTAGAAGTTGGATTCAAGTTTATAAAGTTTCGGTTAGAATGCGATAACAAAGGAGATATACTTCGTCAATATTTTGTTTGTAAAAATTCAAAAGAGTATCAACCCAAAAAAAAGACAATTGATGCAGACCATAGAGAAAGAGATTCTAAGAAAGTTGGTTGCCTATAGCAACTCAATGTAGGATGTAGAAAAAACATTGGTGCTATATTTATTAACAAGCTTATTACTAAGCATAACTATTTACTTGCCCCATATTGAAAAGAATTTGCTCCAAGTTTACACTTGCTTTCACTAGTTGTCAATGATAATATCGCAAAGACAAATGCATATAATATGTTATTAAATTTCTTTATAGTTGTTAATAATCATCATCAAACAAGAATTGTGGCGCAGTCACTTGTACAAGATGAAACTGTTAGTTCATATAAGTGGATCCTAGAGTGTATATTAAAAGCAACCGATAGTTTGTCTCCAAAGTAATATTCACCAATACAGATCCTAAAATGATTTCTGCTATCAATCAAGTCTTTTCAACTTCAAAACATAATCATTGCATATTCTATATACAAACAAATATTGCTAAGAAACTATCGCGGAAACTTGGAAGTTCTTATAATAATTTTTTGCAAAGCTGGTACTAGTGATATAATAGCTATAGTAAGTTGGAATTGGAGCATTGTTGGAAAGATTTATTGATTCAATATACTGCAAGCAAAGATTATTTAAACCAACTTTGGAAAACTCAGCAATCGTGGGCTAAAATATATATGCTTACAACTTTTTGTGCTGGAATACAAAGCACGCAGTGGGTAGAAAGTACAAACGGGCTTATTAAAGCAGAAGTTGGCACCAAAACAACACTTTTTAATTTGGATAAAGCTATTTAAATAAAGCTTAAACGCGAAGCACGACACCAGTAGCTTTCAAAATATAAAAATGTATTACCTACCAAAGGACTTTCAAGTATTCAAAGTGTTTTTTTTAAACCTGTTCAAGATGCAATCAAAGAGTATTTAATATTAAAATCTGCATCTGTTCAAAATATTCAAATATCCCAAAGCATTTTATATCACACAAGTTTGTTTGAAATTTCATATAATTTAACTTTGGTATAGTTTTATATTATTTGCATAGCTATTGTTATATTTGAATTACTGTTTTTTTGTTAATATAATTATTGTTTTAATTAACATGCTTTATTAGCTTCTTAATGCTCATGAATATATGGATGGATACCTTGAAGATGAGTATGATGCATTACAGGCTTCACTGGAAAATATTATAAATATGGTCAACTGCGAAAATATTCTTGAAATTTGACAGGTTTTATTATTTGACCAACACAACCATAGTTATCCACATTTTGTTATTCTTTTGGCTGATAATACACACCTTTGTACTTGTCTTTATATTATTTTTTATAGATTTTATTGCAGACACTTTTTTTGTATTTTCAAGGTATCTCATAATGCCAAGTTTGATATAAAGCTTATATCTAAACATTGGTATACCGATTCTATGCAAGCATCCAATTATTCTGTAATTCCAGATACATCTTATATGGAGTATGACACAAATGAAGAAATAAATCAAGTTATTTCTATTCATGAACCTGATATATATAGAGCTAGCATTCATAATAATATTACACAAAAACAAGATTATGCATATGGCTTTGGTATAGCCAAAAGCGAGTTAAAATTTGCACTTGAAAATGTGTTAGTCAATGAATTTGTAGGACTAATAACAAGATTTATTGAAAACCATACTGGTGTTGATACCAATAAAAGAATGACAGTTGATATTACTCAAATTGAGAATCCAAAGAAATTAAAGTATAAAGGGCATCCAAAGTTGCCTAAACCAGTACAGCAGAGTAATATTCAAAATTTAAACACAGGGTGTAAACGAATCGCTGAAATAGATACTGAAGATGAATATGTTGAAGAAAGTTCATCATGAAAGCGAATTAATAACAAATAATGAAATTGTACTCAACATTATTGTGGAAACTGTTATAGAACTGGTCATTATGCTACTACATATTAATTTTCTAAAAATCATTTTAAGTAATACTATTATTCGATGTATTAATAGAATTTACTAGTCTAGAATCTTAGTCTGATGTTAGAGATATAAATGTTTGTATATCAATAATATATATCAAAGATTGTTAAAGTTAGAGACCATAATGCTATAATTTGTTTTAATTGATTAATGATAACACAGTAACTCATTATAATTATAGTAGATTATAGTATTATGTTTTCGTATATAATGTGAAAGTTTCTTGTTAATTGAGTAGTCTAAACAATATTTTTGAGTCTTAATAGTTTTTTACAAATAAAACTATTGCAGTAATTAATTAGTAGACCTAACTTAAATGGTAAGCAACAGACTAGCAACCATAGTAATTATTATATACGTATTAGGGTAAGTATATTATTATTTGATTCAAAGAGACATTTACTTTTGTATTGCTTATATAAATTCAAATTTTTAATTCGGACTTTTGATCAATTGTCATATGCTTATGTAACAAATCGACTATTTCAAAGCTTCCTAATATAAGTACAAAAGTTTTTTCACAAATGCTTAAATCAAATAAGCCACATACAATTACTAAGCTAAAAATTAAGACTTTTCAACTATCAGATATATTGTTATCAGATTGAAAAATTTAAAATACAAGTAGATTTAGACATTAGTTCTTACAATATTTTTTTTTGCTTTATTAGCTATTGAGAACAATTAATAGCTATTAATTTGTAATACTATACGTTATTTTAACTGTAATATAAAAAGCAATAAATAAAGAACGAGATCCTAAGACTAATTATAGTAGTGTTTTCAATTAGGGGGCATCCATATATAATGTTATGTACCCCTACATAGTAGCTCTTGACCCCCCTAGACTATATAAAAAATTTTTAAAAA